TTGGCAAAGACAGTTTTCCGGTGACGCACTGTTTCGGAGCCGCGGACCGTGCACAGCACACACTCTTAATCGTTTTCACCGCTTATGGGTCTGCGGGCCGGGCCGGGCTGGGCCCCACCTTAACCTTACAGCTTTCTTTGCTGCGGCTCCCGGCCCGGCCCGGTCCGGTCCGCCGGACTCCTCCCCGTATCTCCCCCCGATCGCACTGTTCTCACGTGAATATGCTCAGCGGTCACGCCCCGTACATTTACCGGTACACTGCGCCCGCACAACGAGCGCGCCCAGGGAAATTTGCCTACTGACGTTCGATTTCGAAACTCTTTTCGCCGCGCTGCCCCGACCGGAGAGGCGCGCGAGCGGCGCTGTGTTTTGACGGGCGCTTGTTGGGTGTTAGAGTCGACCGAGCTTACCTCCATGACGAACCACAGCTGGTCGTCCTCACGGCAGGCGGCGCGCAGGAGGTACAGGCCGCGAAAGGCCGGCAGGTTGGGGTGGCCGCTGAGCTCGCGCAGCACCCGGTACTCCTCCTCGATCTCCTCCAGGTTGTCCGCGACATTCTCCAGGATCTTGACAGCCACCCGCTCGCCTACGGTCACAGGTATGATATGGTCGTGAGACAAAGGGATGCAATTGAATTGGGAAATCGTATTAATTGTCTAGCCGCCAGAAAGCACATTTTAAAGTCGGAACTAAATTGTAACGACTGAAAAAAGGCATTAACACTACATTTCACACTTGCACGTGCTCGACCAGGAAGCTCTCGCACGCTCTTTGAGTGTATGGGGCATGAAGCTGGTAGTTAACACTAGGGATGAACCGCTTGCAACTAACTACATTACTCGTGAAAACATCGTTACCCGTGAGGTTGTCTTTGGCGTTGTACACATCGCCGTAGGTCCCCTCGCCGATCAGCTCCTTGAGGACGAACCGCTCGACGGGTGAGGGCAGCGAGTCGAAGTGTACGCGCTGGGACAGCCCGCGGTAGGTCATGTCTGTAAACAAAAGAGTTTTAATTAATTGGCTGAGCCACAGGGAGGTTAGCTTCTCGGTACTGGTGGAGGGGGTGGCGACCGGGGGG